TCTTTGCTTGGACTATACGACTAAGCGAACTTTTTTGCTATACCCCGTATATCCCATCTCCCTCCCATCTTCCACTGTTCCGTCTCCCCTCATCCCTCTCCCACACCAACACACCCAACAACCCCTCCCACTACTGTTTCCTTCTTCCATTCCCCCAACCCTCCTCCCAACCCTCCTCCCAACCCCTTGCTCCCAACCCCAAGCCCTTACCCCTTCTCCCATTCCTCCAACCTCCCCCAACCCACACCAACCCTCCTCCCACTCCTTACCCCAAACCTCCTCCCACTCCTTACCCCAAACCCTTCCCCCATTGCCCCCTCCTCAACTCATTAACTCCCCCATTGCCCACAGTTGGCAGTACCGACGTCTCAGTTAAAACGTCACAGGATATGGTACTACCACTGCCGTGCCCACAATGAGCACTAAAATTTATCAAAGTTTTGCTGGAGCAAAAGCTTAAGTTTGTTGAAATTTAATATGGCTTTAAAGATAAATAAATTTGTTCATTTTTTATGGGTTTGTTCCTTTGCAAACGCCATGTGTAATCACAGTAGGATAATTCCAATTGACTACTTTTTGCGACGAAACCCAAGCACACGTTCAAAGAAGACAAACTACGCAATAATATGTAAGCATCTGGTCTGCTATTGTTTTTGTTGGCCTTATTTCTGCACATTAAGATGGGGATGGTTCTTTTTTCAAAATCACTGAAGGTAGGTAATTAGGTTTCCTTGACGTCGTGGCTGAGAGGAAAAATAACAAAACAAAACAACAACAACAACAAAAACACCGTTTGAGAGTCGGCAGGGGGGGCGGGCGAAGTTTTGTCAACACGAAGGTCGTCTCTGCGAGATCAGCTCACTGTTCCTTTACGTTGTGCGGTTGAAAGTGTTGACGGTTAGGCACTTGCAACACAATAAGGTCATATAAGTGCCAAAGATTAGAGGTGTTACAAGAGAGTAACAAACATAAAAAAGGAGGAGAGATAAAGACGAGAGTTGTTTAATAGGAAAGAAGGAGCAAACCACACCAGAGCACCCGCCAACCACCCATGACGATAGATCTGCCAAAAATCTAAAATCAACTAAAAAGTAGTCTACAATTAATTATTTTTTCCTCTATAAATTAAGATTTATGGAACGCGCTTTTTGTCGAAGATTTGTCTTATCACCCAATTCTCGGGCCAACCAGTGAAAGGGTTAAGATGATGATGTCGTGCTTCTTTACTACTTGTCAGTCCGCAAAGTGCCTTTGTCATTAGATTTTTTTCTCTCAGTGTCACTTCTTTCTTTTCGTTTCGTTGTGTTTTCACTGATCCTGAATTTCCAACATTTAAACGAGTGACGAACGAATTCTCTTCACTCTGACATACTTATAACAAGACGGAAAACCACTAATAACAACCGTTAATTGCGTTATAAGCTTCCTAGAAAACAAAATAGACTATTTAAAGGGGAAGGGATGGTAGATGAAAGGAAAGGAAATGCACTTAATGTTCCTGAAAGAAATTCGTTCTTAAAATGCCATACGTGACAGGAAGGATATTATTTTTGTTTCTGAAAGTGGAAGACCAGGTTTTAAATAGCTTCCGCTTTTGTTTTCTAGTTTGGATTTTCAAGAACTTGAGATATTATTCTCTTGTTGTGAAAATCAGGATTTCTAAATTGTCTTTTTTTCTTCTTTTTTTCTTGGTAAGTGTTTTACGGCGCTCGCAACTGCATATGGTCATATGAGGGCGCGGGACACACCTAACATTTTCAGTTGGTAGGACATTTTGAATTTTGCCCTGGTGGCGGCCGAAGTCTACTTTTATCGATTTTAGACAACCTAGGGATCTTTAACCTGCGCAACTTGCACACAGGCCCTCCGAGATTTTTTGCCCTTGTCCGAGAGGGCTAGGTGTAGATCTTTCCTACCATCAGATCAGGGGTGTGGCTGAAAGACAGCAGTGAGAAGGAGCCAAGGAGTAGCAGTAGAAAGGCTGCATAAAGAGTCAGGAGCCCAGAGGGAGAAAAGAAGGTGAGGGGGTGGGGGACAGAAAGAGGAGAGGAAAGCAGACGACAGAACATTGCTTGAGAGAAGGAAAGGGGGTGAAAGGAGACAATTTTAGAGAAGAAAATTTTTCGGCCGCTACCCGGAGTCGAACCCTTGACCTTTGAATGAGAGGCCAACACCTTAACCTCTAGGGCATGAGAACCCCCCTTTTATCCTTTTAAAGAGCGCACAATCATTTACTCTATCTTTAGACAACTATAGTAATTTCTTTCCACGGTACAATATTTACACAATTGTTGTTACCCTCATACTTAAAGGTCTATTGATATATCATTGCTATAGATCAATATATTTTTATTGGATTTTTTTATAGTTAAGTTATTCTGTCAAAGAATTCTTGCTAAATTTGGTAACTGCTTTGTACAGGACATGTAAGATGCCCAATAATATGCGTCCTTAAAGTGACATACGAGAAGCGATGAATTCCTTATGTGAAAACAATGTACTCCCTGGTGAAACATGAATCTAGCGACTGGAAAAGATAAATCCTCGCTTTTTCCCTTGGGGTTTAGAACTCGCTGCCTATCAGTTATATTGACTGAACAGAATAATCTTGTTGGAAGCAGATTTATCACCGTCCACCGGTAAAACAGAGATCGTTTCATTCTTTTCTGCGTCCCAGGAGCGCCCCGTGGAGATTGATAGTCCGCACTTCTCACCAAAGCCTTGTCTCATAAAGTATCCTCCATTTGTCTCGCGAGAAGACAAAACCATTTTCAGGATTTATACCGTGTTCGCGATAATTCATAAAACTACGATCATGCCGAAAGGGTAGAATTTTGCCAGATGGAGGTATGGTAAAAAACAGACAATTTAGAATATAAAGACAATAACGTATGGGTTTCAAGGGAACACACAGTGTGAAAGATTTTTTTTAAAATCGTTGACGTGAGAAATGGAATCTCGACATCATGATTCATCTTCTCTCTTCAACGTTGGAGAAGGGAATTTTTTTCAGAAGTTAAAAGCCTAACTCTTAGGAATTTGGTTTGGAACCCCATTGACATGCTCCGAATAAAGAGAGAAGTACTATCGTACCAGCATTAAGAAGCTTCATTGTAACCGAGGCTGAGTGTCTATTTTAAAAAGTTGGTTCCGCCATTTTCTTTTACTTTGGCTAAAGAAGCCCAATTCAATCGCTCCCCGGTTGTATGTAGTCTTTTTTATTTTGGTTTGTTTCACTATTTAAAAAAAATTTTTTTTTTTTGGTTTGTAATAGGAGTGCTCGAGAAGCATCAGTTAGAGTTTCTAAGTGTATTACTGGACTCGTAACCCAGGATCCTGATGAGGTGTGGTTTTTGCACTACATTAAAGGGTGGTTTTGTTTGGATTTTTCAGACACGAGATGGACATTGCAACATGCAAACATAATATTCAAACTCGCTGAATCTAAGAATGGAATTGTTCCATTTTGTTCATCCCAAATTTAAGATGTAACATAAAGCCTGTCGGCTAAACTTTGTGAAGAGGGTGCTTTTGTAAAGGGACGGGGAAAAATGTGAAAAAATAGAAGAAACCCAACAAAGCTGTAGAAGGATTCATTTCACGACGATGGCCCTTAGAATTTCCTAATCTGATTATAATTACCAGATCTGTCTTTTTTCGTTCTTTCGATTTCTTAAAAAATGAGTCACGTTTTTTTCGCTGTTTCCATGAGTTGCGCTTGAGCTTCGCCATAATTTGTGGCTCAGAGAAAGCTTTACGATTGGATGATGGCCTCCGTCTGAAGCCTTCACAATTTTTGTCCCTATCAAGATCTGTCTGAAAATGAGGAAATAGTAAAGGAACGTCTTAATTGCTAATCCAGAGAGAAGATTAGTTGAGAATAAGGTAAAATCTGTAGAACTCTCTTGTGCTATTCAGAAAAAAGTGAATGAGTGTGTGTTTCTTTATTTCTCTCTTTCTCTCTCCTCTCTCTCTCTCTCTCTCTCTCTCTCTCTCTCTCTCTCTCTTTCTTTCTATTTTTCTATTTTTCTCTTTTCCTAACTTTCTTTCTCTCTTTTTTTTAAAACTCTTTCCAGCTCTCTTTTTCAGTGTGTGTTAATGTGTGTGCATGGGCAAAAGAGAGAGATTAAGGGAGAGTGCGGGGGAGAGAGAGAGGGGGGGGGGAGGAGAAAGGGAGAGTGCGGGAGGAGGGAGAAAAAAGAGAGGAAGTGGAGAGATTGATTAGGGTGAGCCGATTGTGAGTGCGTGCGTGTGTGTGTGCGTGTGTGTGTGTGTGTGTGTATGTGTGTGTGTGTGTGTGTGTGTGTGTGTTTGTGTAAGTTAAAGTGTGTGTGTGAGAGAGAGAGATAGAGAGAGAGATAGAGAGAGAGACAGACAGAGACATAAAAGAGGGAGAGATAGAGCGACAGAGAGAGAGAGAGAGAGAGAGAGAGAGAGAGAGAGAGAGAGAGAGAGAGAGAGAGAGAGAGAGAGAGAGAGAGAGAGAGAGAGAGTAAACGGGGTGTTAGAAAGAGTGAGTATACATGGTGTATTTGTGTGTAAGTTTACCTCTGTTATCTTTTCTATGTGGTTGTGTTTTTCACGCTTGCTCAAATGAGGCGAGAAGTGGTAACTTGAATAATATAATAGTTTCATGGACAGATTTTTCTGAAAGCTAGGGGTTTCCCCTTCCTAGGAAATGTTCTTAGAGACGTTTGCGACATATAATAAAACCGAAACTGATGTACTTTACCATCCTTTTATGGCATTGTACCAAAAATGTGCCACACGATACTTCGCCTTAACGTATTAACTTCATTAATGTATTGCGGAAGAAAGACATTGGAAGTATTTAGTGCTATCGGAAGGGAAGCTGTTAAAACATGTTACCGTGCAATTTCCCCAGTTTTTGGTATTGATATAGTCCCCAAAAAGATTTTCCACTGTTATGCGTAAGTGTTTTCATGATAATATCGTGATACATGCATTATAAAATGATATTATCTCTTTTCTCTTCCCAGGCCTACAGTCGTCCTATCGCTACGAGTTCAAGGGTGAACAAGAGTGAGGAGACGCGCACGGAAGTCTCGTTGTAAACCACTTGGTTATGTTGTTGTGATGGCATGCCACTCTTGACCAGATTACAACCACCCCGCGTCCGTCATTGACAAGAATGCAATGCGCACGCGCCAAGCAGTGACGTGTGTTTCTCCTTAACTCCTTCATTGTGAGAGGCTATACAAGTCCCTTGTAGTGTTCGTCTATTGAAAGGACAGATCAGATTTTGGGTTTAGCAAGTGTTAAGAGCAAAAAAGTGGTGTACATAAAACAGAGTAAGACGTTGGTGTCAAGGAGTGGGTCGCCTCTTCTGGTGTATGGGGGTTTCCCCTGACCAGCTTGTTAATTCTTCTCACACTGTACTAGTTGCTCCCGGAACGTGGGATGAAATTTCCGCTCTTGTTTGAGGACTTTAACGATAGATTGAATGAAATTCTTGTTAAGGCTGGGTCCAGTGACGACAATTTTCCCCTAAAAAACGTGCACACCCTGCGTTCATAGATATAGAGCAACTTAATCAGAAATCCCTTAGCCGTTAATAAAAGCTTCCTTCTGTAATATCCATTCAGTATTTCTAGCCAGTCGTGCGTCTTTGTGAACAATCACGTTTTGATTCATAAAGACAATCTGATTTGGTTATTCTGAATTAGAGTGTCTAAAAGCTTGGTACAAATTGTGTGGTACCAAACAGGCGAGTGGAATTTTCTATAACTTCTAACTGGGTCATGTGATTATTTTACATAGACCTCCTTCCCGATTTCTAGCACTGACATTTGAGAGATTAAAAGTCAGAGAAGGATATTTTTTACAAAAAGTGTTGCTTCAGAGACAACTGTACCTAAACTCTTGCCCGAAAAGGGTTTGCTCTCTAGCTACAGAAACTTCAGAATAATTCGTGCTTCTAAACCAGATTCAAATGTAACTCGGGTCAAGGATTTAGACTCTGTACACACACAGCCATGACGTCGACGGAGCTAACGGAGGACGCTGTTAGTGCTTACTTACGCCAAAATCCACATTTTCTGGCCTCGTGGTTTGTTGAGCACGCAGACGATGACACCCTGAAAACGTTGGCACGAAAATTGAAGCAGGACGCCATCTCCTTACAAGCTAGTAAGTCGCCCCTGCCACCGCCTGTCGAACCTGCACCTCAAAAACAGCAACAGCAACTGCAACAACAACAGCAACAACAACCCCAACTCCGATCTTCCCACAACCACTTGCTGACTGTACAGGAACGCTCCGTAGATGGACAAGGTGACGTAACAGAACCTACGTCAAGTGAGCAGAGTCAAAGCAGCGACAGCAATGACCGAAATCTACAGAAATATACCACCTTTTCCAAGGTACCGTTTTTATTTACCTAAGAACATCTAAACTTAAGTCTTTCAGCAAAATGTTTAAAAACATTTCCCCATTGCAGTGAAATAGATGTTCCGTAATATATTTTTCCAGGCTGGTGAGCTTTGTTCTGTAGACCAGCTCAAGTCAAACCAAAGACAAAAGTGTGTATTACATGCCTTTTAAACATAAAATGCTCGGGATACAATTGTCAAGAAAATTTCTGATATCCAGCCAACATCCCATATCTCCTGGGATGGAATTTTGTTGACGCCTAGAAGTAAAGTGGAACCATGAACTTATTTTCAATGTCATGTCGACAGCAAATTATGTTCTATCTATTTGCTTTCATTTGTTGTCGATGATGACTGTACTCCAGTCCAAATTCTGCTCACTCCCTTCCTTTGAATAAAAAAGAAACATCTTTGCGTCATTCATTGATCCCTGACGCCTGATCAGTTTAGTCCATTACGGGCTACTTCCTCATACATTAATTCAATGAGCTGTTTGGCGACGTTCTGATCATTAGCCGTCCAGGAGCCTGCACTGAAACACACACTGCACAGCGAGAGTCAGAATAAAGCATGATGACATGTTATACTTGTTATTCATTTTAAAACAATAGGGGGTCGACTGGCAATCTCAGTATCTTGAGAGTTTCAAGGAAAAACGCTATTCTAGATTCTTGCGATCAGTCCAAATGGATTTCTACCTTGACTGGTTGGTGAACAGTGTATGGGCCTAATGCAACCGTTGCTATTCATACAGTATAACTGCTGAGCAATTAGGCCTACATTTTGTTGTTGTTTGTTCCTCGGCTGATGTGTTTGATGAGGTATAAAATGACAGTATACACTATTTCTGTCTCTACGTATGAGTGTCAAGCGCTATTTTGCTTTATGGTCAATTTCATGTGACGATGACAATAAATTATTAATCAGGCCACGCCAAACTGGGAAAATCTTATCGTCATATTTGCAAGAGAAGGGTCGATATGGAAAATGGAGTTTATGATGACACCACTTTCAGGTTACAATGGGCCACTTGCCCCGACTGGTAGTTAGGCTTAAGTCAGGTTTTCAGTTCAAAATCTAGAACACTGAGCTGTCATTCACACGTTATAGGCTATAGTTAGAACTTGCACGATTTATGGTACAGTCAATATCTATTTTGGATGTTCTTGAAAGACAAGAAAGGGGTAAGGGAAGATGGACAAGGGGAGATTTTATTCCTTTTTGTTGTTTTTGGTTGTGGAAGTGTAGATTGTTATAAATGTCTACATATATCAATAACAAATTTCTAAAACTATGCTGGAGTTCTCCTTTATTTACTTTTAAGAGATGGAAGACAGGTTCTGACTTCTACCAATCTTTTTATTTGAGTTCTTGTTTCAACTTTGCAATTTGTTGGCCAAACTACAATGTTATGATTATCAACATTTTTATTAGTGTTATCTTTGTTACTTTTATTATTACTATTTTTTTAATTGTTGCTGTTATTATTGTTGTTGTTATTATTGTTATTATTGCTGTTATTATTATTATTATTATACCCTTTCCGTGGCTGATTAGCTGGGGAAATTTAGTGAGCGAAAATCTGAGCTATGGTTATATTATCAGCCATGATATCAGTCACGTCAAGTTATCACAGTCATGATATCAGTCAAGTTATCAGCCATGACAAAAAGTCGTGATAAGTTGGACGGTTAAGATACCGGGGCCAGCAAAAGTCAGTCCCGAGCGGTCACCTAAAATGGGACAGGCCGGGTTGTTTGTGTGTGTGTGTGGATGTGGGTGTGTTTGTCACTGTTTTTGAGTGTATGCTGTTATAAATTCTGTCCGTCTGTATACGTTTAGTTTTAGTTAGAGTTTTACGGCACCCGCAACACAATAAGGTCATATAAGTGCCGAAGATTAGAGGTGTTACAAGGGAGTAACAAACACAAAAGAAGGAGGGGAGATAAAGACGATAGGTGTTTGATAGAAGGAGTAACCACACCAGAGCACCCGCCAACCACCCATTGTCTGTACACACACCCACACTCACACACTCACACACACACACACACACACACACACACACACACACACACACACACACACACACACACACACACACACACACACTTTTTTATATGCATAAAGATAGAAA